ATTGGGGGGAGATGGGCGGTTGAAAAATTTAATAAATAAATAAATAAATAAATAAATAAATTTTTTTTAAAAATTCAGGCCTTCAGTATAATAAGAGAATGGGAGAGCGTAGATAGAGATGTCAACACTTAACCAAGAAAAGTCCATTCTATAATCACCATATAGTCAACCCTGTTACTGCCACTCAACCAGTAGCATGGCGGGGAATAAACTGCTATCAAATGCCATTGCCCAATAGCATTGCTCATGCCATCTGGCCTTTGTTATTGTGGCAGGATATACGATTTCATCTAAGCAATTGTCCTTGTGCTTGTTTAATGTCCAAAATATTGCTGCAATGACTTGACAAAACTGTAGTCAAAATCAGGACAATTTTGTATTTGTTCAAGTAATCTGAAGGGACACTAATAACCATAGGCTGAGCTGAACCTAAATATATGAACTCATAATGGTGGTGGCTGTGGAGAAGGAACAGGGTACAACCAGCTCTGTGCTTCGTGTAATATCAAAGTAAAGGCAAAGAGATGAATTTGGAACCAGCAGAGGCTCCTCCGCCCAGAAGAGCGTGGAAAAGAGGCCCGTTCAGTCCACTCTTCTTGTCTCACACACCTTGATGTTCAGTAAAACTCTCCAGCCTAGCATCAAAAGTGGCAGAGAGGGGAAAGCCCCCATTTGATCAAGAGCAGTTGGTACTATCCATACAATATTTATTGAGCAAAAACATTTCAGTGGTTTCACAATGCCAGATTTTAAAGTTGCACCACACCTGGAAACCTTATATTCTTAGCTCTTATATTTCAGTTTTAAAATCTTCACTTTGGTTTGGTAACAGTTATCTAGTATTGGCCTAAAATGTTTAAATGATAAGTCAGATAAGTCAAATGAGGAACCAATAGTCCAGTGTTTGCTGATAGGCAGCTTCAAGACCTCTAGCTTTCCCAATGAACAGCATTATCTTTAGACTAGATTTGGCCTGCAGAAGGAAATCTTCAACAGTTTCTCAGCTGTTGGAGTCAACATCACAATTCTTTCCCTTCCTTCCTTCCCCTTCCTTCCTTCCTTCCTTCCTTCCTTCCTTCCTTCCTTCCTTCCTTCCTTCCCCATACAAGTTTAACAAATTGTTATTATTATGGTTGGTCACACAGTCAGCCAGATGTTTAGACTGGATTTGGCATTTTTATCCACCTATTGAGTCCTTCCCAAGGACCCATCACAATTCTTTCCCTTCCTTCCTTCCCTCCTTCCTTCCCCCTACAAGTTTAACAAATTGTTATTATTATGGTTGGTCACACAGTCAGCCAGATGTTTAGACTGGATTTGGCATTTTTATCCACCTATTGAGTCCTTCCCAAGGACCGACCTGGGATAGGCAGATGTGATTGTTTGATGGTGTTAAAGGTATCGTCGCAGGATGTAAGCTGTTCCAAGTAAAGCTGCCTTTTGCAATTGACTGATGGTGATTTTGTCAACACCGATGATCTTCAAGTGGTGTTCCAGATGTTTTGGGATTGCACCCAAGGTACCTATTACTATTGGTACTATCTTCGCTTTCTTTATTATTTGCTTCCACTCTGACACCTGCAATAACCACGCTGGAGTCTGCTCACCATTTATTTCATGTCTCCCATAATGCCTCGAACAAAGCTGGCCTTATGTTCACCCACAGAGACTTTGTTTCTGTCCAAATTTTCTAATGTGCTTCCAAAAATGTATAGTATGATTATACTTGGTGATAAGATTTGCTGCTGAATTTTAAATTACTAAATTGCTGTCAAACACTGATGGCTCAGTTATTTGGAGATGGATGGATGGATGGATGGATGGATGGATGGATGGATGGATGAAGGGAGGGAGGGAGGGAGGGAGGGAGGGATTAATCTTTGAAACAATGGAATTCTTTTTTTTTTCTAATTGACCAAAAATGTATCCCACATCAGAGAGTATTTCAGCTGCTTTGAGTGTCATATTGGCATATTGGTAGAAAGATGGGGTACAAATTAAAAACAAACATTTTAAAATACATCTTATTTTTAATATTGTAAAAATGGGAATGCTTCATTTATATTTGTTTATATATTGTTTTCTAATTTGCCCTCCTACACTCATTTTTTATTTTGTCCCTGTCCATGTGACAATGGACATTTTTAAAAATATGGTCCTCAGCCAGTCACACAAGATTGCAGTTATTGTTTCTGTGTTGTCGTTATTATTGTCTTTCTGCAGCGCTCACAACGTTCATGACTATTAGGAAGCAGTTCTGGAGCCACATCCAAGGCTCTGGAGGGGCCCATGAGAAGCTAGGAGTATCAGCATTGCCCCTCCTTGTCTACATCTTCATCTTCTTGAGCAGAACAGTATTATTTTTCACTGTATCCATCTCCTTAACTCCATTTCCTTGTCTCTTATCTGCATAATAAACCACTAGTGGCCTGAGAGTTCAGTCCCGCCCCTGGGAATTTTTCACCAGTTCTAGAGAGCTTGTTCAGCTTTGCGCAACTGCCGCTCACTGCGCTGCGCAAGCCAAGAGAGAAGCAACCAGGAACAAACCACTGAAGAGCAGAAGACCTTCTGTCATTTTTTTACACTAAGCCTACCCCACCAGCCATCCCCATTTTTGTCTGGTCCTGTGTTAGCAGTTACCCACCAGGACAAATTTTGCAACAGCTTCAAGCCATGCCAGCTCAGAAATATGGCGGTTACTATAATTAGCTGCTGACCAGGCATCAGACCATGGAGTAGGGATGACAACTGGCAGTGACGCAGGACATAAGGAAATGCAGGGGTGTTCAGGGTCAGCTACAGCCCTTTTCTGGATCTCTGTGAATAAAGAATTGCTGGTTCAGGCTTGTTATTCAAAAGTGAATTTTCCACACTAAAATTGATTTTATAATTACTGGGTAGGGCAATCAGGTCTGTTTTGATGGAGCCTTCAGACCATCAGAGTCTATAAGATGTCCACTGCCTTGATAGCAATGGATAATCAACAGTTAAATGAGGGAGAAGTGATATTTGTTACTTTTCCTGTTTTGTTTTTTTAACTATTATAAGCCAATTTTCTCTTAGCTATTGGCCATCAAATAAGTTACTGTACTTCAGATCACCTCCAGATTGGGCCGTGTTTTCATAGCAATTAGGGATGTCATGGTGTATTGGGGAGATTTTTGCTTCCACAGATTTTCAGCCTCAGGATGCCTTTATGCCACACCAAAATTACTTCCTTTTCCCAGCTCTGAAGATCTGCTATCCAAGAAGCAATTGTTGTTATCACTTTTGGGTGGGACAAAAAAGAAGCATCTGAGTTGGGATCTTTGCTATGGTCAGAGGAACCTGTCTCCAATATACCCTACAAACCCTGGAAGATCAACTGGGGCCACAGCGTTGCAGCTTTGGACTGCTTGAAAAATCAGGTTCCAATTATATCTGTTATCAAAATAGCAGAATAAGTACTAATATTAGACTGCTACATACTGTACACTATGTTTGGGGGGGGGGAATGTTAATTCTTCCACTGAGAGCCTAAAGACAATACTGGTTCAATCATACCAAACTTTGAGGATTCAAATACTGTGTTCTACAAATAAGCCTTCCTATCAAGAGAGAAAATTGCATGCCCTTTCAAATTATGTTTAAATTCTCTGTGGACCAGTTTTACTAATCCATTATTTTTTCACTATAAAAACCTATACTTTTATGTTTTGAGGTTCAAATTTAATTGAGGAAGTAGTGTCTGACCTTAAAGCTACTGCTTGGGTGTATATACATACATCTTTATGTATTTGCAATATATATAAACAGGAAAACAATCAGGCTTACAGCAAGCAAAATATGTTTTATTTATTGACAAATTACATTTCATTTTTCTTCTCATTACATGGTTACATATCACGAAAATATGAGGCTTCCTTTTATGTTTTGCTTTGAGGAGGTAATGGATAAAAACATTAAAAAGCAATCATACAACATATTCTTTAACTTTGTTACGGGTATACTAAATTACCCATTTTAGGTCTCTCCAGGAAATATTAAACAAAAAACCCAAAACAAAACAAAAATTCTTATGCACCTCACTTCACCTTTCTAGTAGACATTTCCTGGATTTATCATATCCACACAACTGTAAATTCTGCAGATGTTCACCTCCATATGCTGGGGAACAACTGGTTCACCATGAAGCTGGATCAAGTTGCATTCTTCCACAATATAATATACACCCATTGATTTGGTGTTACCTTATGGGAGTCTTTCTTCATTTGCCACCCTTAGTTGATTTCAGTCCTTGCTACAGCAATAGAAAGAACTGAGGACATCATGATACATTTTCCTAATTCCCTTTACAGTCCTCGACTTACAACAACTGGGACCAGAATTTCCATCGCTAAGCAATGCGGTCGTACAGTGCAACCGCATCGCTTAGCAATGGCAATCCCTGCAGTCCTGGTTGCCACTGTTAACTGAATTCCATGGTTGTTAGGTGAGGCAACTTCCTGCCAGCTCCCCACAACCAAAGCCAGTGGGGAAGCCAGCAGGAAGTTGTAAGGTCCAGGCCAGCAGGCAGATAAGTGGCTGCTGTCGGGTGGAGGAGGGAGTGCGGAGGTGCACGGGGGCATGGTGGGTCAGGGAGGGTGCGCAGGGGTGTGCAGCAGTGTGTGAGGGGTGCTGCATGGGTCAAGGAGGGTGCACAGGGATGCTCAAGAGGTGCCACATAGGTTGGGGAGGGTGTGCAAGGGTGCACGAGTGGCCAGCACAGCGTGAGTGCAGAAGGGCTGGGGAGGGTGTGCAGGTGGGGGAGACTTACCCTAGCAACTTGTGACATTCCCTGCCGGCTTCCCCACTGACTTTCGGTGGAAGCTGGCAGGGAAGGTTGCAAATGGCAATCACGTGATCACTGGGTGCTTGGCAATCGGTCATAAATGTAAATGGATTGCCAAGTGTCCAGATCGTGATCACATAACCATGAGGATGCAGGGACTGCTGTAACTCTGAGGACCAGTTGTAAGTCTCCTTTTTTCAGCACTGTTGTAACTTCAAATGGTCACTGAATGAATGGTCGTAAGTTGAGGACTACCTGTATTGCCTTATGTGTATTGTAGCAGCTGAATATTTTGTACTATGAAAACCATACTGGGTAAAAAAATTACCTGGGGATAAGACAAGGGCAATGTCATGAGCACAGGGGTTATAGTTTGGGTTTATTCTATGAAGCATGGATCTGAGTTTAATGCCCTATTGATCTGTTCAGGTGAGGTATTACTACACACATCAGTGGAAAACTCAAGGTATCATTTCATAATGTGTCTGTCTGGCTTATGTTAAGGCACAATCTTCACTAGTGGCTTATAGCATCTTCTAGTGTCATCTCTGTATTGATCCTTGTTACTCTTATATGAGTACAACGATTTTTGGTGATGCTAGAAAATGCTATAAGTCACTAGTGGGGATTCTGTCAAAATTCAGACTAATATAGGGAGTAGGGTAGGGCCTTTCTTCTCAAGGAGATACTTTGTGTAAATTACTTGGCTGTCCAAATATGGTTAAAACAGAAGGCACAATATTAATTTTGATATACAATTCTAAAATCTACAATACTAGATATTTGCCGTTTATTAAAACAAAAAGTATATACATTTCTGTTTTAGTTTTCCTTATACAAAAAAGGGAGGTGTTGATAAAAAATGTAACATTGCTTTTCACAAGTTGTACTACAGGATCCTTTAATACAAAGCCCACAACCTTCCTTTGGTGCTCACCAGCCTCCCCTTGAGAAATGGATATTCTGTGAGTGTCTAAGACAACCATGGAGGTAATTTTGTGAATGGATCACCTCCCTCTCCTTCATGGCACCTCCAAATCTTTAAACTGAGTACTCAGCTTTAAAGTGTGAGGGTTGCAGCCCACTCTGCATTATATGAGATCCTGGCTATATCTCTTTTAGACTGTAATAGAGCATTGTATAAAGTTTATTGTAGATGTTGAACACAAGAGTATAATCCATTTAAACCATGTTGGCAATATGATACAAAGTTCTTTGGAAGACTAATTATAGTATAATATAGTATGGTATATTATACACTATATAATTATTGTATAGTATATAATAATTTATGCTATATTTTTCCAGGGTTCCTTTTGCTCCAATAACTCAGGCTACGTCTTCCAACTTCTCCACTTGATGTATCTCTGGGGTAAAGTGTAGCTCTCATTTTCTACAGTCAGGAGAAGGAAGCTCAATTTTCTCGTACAACTGGATCACCATCACTACCACCAGGTCTTAATATATTTCCGGGCTCATAAGACATCATTCACAGAATCCATTTTGAATAACAGGGCCAAGGTTCGAGAATGCATGAAGTCATCTTTAAAAGTATCACCACTAGGCAAATTCAGCTTGTCCCCACCTTCTCGGACTAAGGAGGAAGCTTCCAGGGCAGATGGTATAGCTCACAGGCAGGCCCAAGCCCTGACAATTACATTTTTAGAAACTGAACACTGATTATCACTTTCTGTACATAGGGGGTACTGAAACCATATTCATAAATTCATACACAGATATACGTGCCTACACTAACACTTTGTTGGTGTTAATCAATATGAAAACGTAACTAATCCTTGCCCATTCCACTTCCAAATGCTGGGAATCAGTTGAAAGTCATCTAATTCCCACCAGGCTGGTACCACAAGTAGTCCTTGTTGGTATCATACTTTCCTGCTGATTTTTATTTTATGGCTTTCTGTTCAGCTCTGCTCCCCAGATTTGAAACGAGAGAAGCAGGAAGGAGCTGGGCAATAGAGAGAAATCTCAATGGTAGTGGCAATGGAGGGAACAAAGGTATCCTGTAGAAAACATGGAACTAGCTGTCATAAGCAGCAGTGATAAATCTGTATCTGATAAATCCCTTTCAATAGTGGGTTCACATGACAAAATGCTTCTTTGTGCAATATGCATACGCAACAAATGCTATCTATATAAAAGTCAAAAATTCTTTATTACAGGTCAGTGACCCAGACTAAATAGAAGTTATTAAATAAAACCTACAAAACATTAGAAGGTTCTAACCAATAAATCTCACACAGCAAAAGCAGGCAGGCATTGAGGGAGAGCAATATGTCCTTTTCTTCCTCAGTATTTTATTTGAACTAGAGAAAAATTGAAGGACTTAGGCCTGGAGACCTTTGCTAGTATTGTCATCTTCCTTTCAGAAGCAGGCAGATATTTTCACTCCCTTTTCTCTTAACCTCTGAAAATCTGCCCTGGAAAAAATTGTCCTTCTTCCCCCATTCTACAGTACTGTCCTTTTCTGGATTTTGTCCCTTCTATGAACAGAAAGATCCCTTTTGTTCACAAAGTCTGGTCTGACCACAAACATATTTAAGAACAAAACATTCAAACACATGAAACTTAATCTGGAACATGAAATGTCACAGACCAAATACTGATTTCTTTCTTCATCAGTTCTCCGTGAGAAAACAGAGGGCTGTAAGCCACCCACTGCAAACAGTTTTGAAGGGCAACCTTTTTTTTAAAAAAATAAACAAATACAATAAAACCAAGTCCTGTATCTTACAACATTTAGAGCTGAGAGTTCTTCATTTGCCAGAAGGTTCCACACTTTCCTACACACTCCAAGTTACCCCATTTAAGAAAAGCTATTCCCTTCCTTTAGGACCCTGAAATGGAGGATCTTCCCCATGGCAACACAATATGTCTCCAAAGAGTGGACTGTCCACAATTTGACTTTCAGAGATCAACAATTCTTATTCATCAGAAATTCTGTTCACTAAACAGCACCAGCCCAACCCCCATGATTGCCCCCTCCTGATATCTGAGATAACCTTAGCAAAATCACAGTCATTGCCCATCACTGTATTGTGTACGATGTAGATATCATGAGGTAAATTTCCTTTCCAGGTATAACCCTTTACTTCATAAACCCTAATGACTGCAAAGGGTCCCTCTGCCTTTAGTTTTGCTTCTTTGGGAGATGAGGCGTGCGGTGGATTTGAAAACCTGGGACTGCTTGTGGCCCTTTGCATCATGGCTAATTTTTGAATGATATCTGTTTCATTTTGAAAAAAACCCACACACAATGTGAAAAGAAGACAGCAGTAAGAAAGGACACTCAAATGTTTGTCCCCATACTTCAGAAGGCAAAAGAAACATAAACTGAAGTTACCTCTTGGAATGCTTTACTGGTTTGATTTTGACTTCTCAAGCAATGCGGGTCCTGACCTTGTACCGCTTTGGGTGTGGCAGCCCTCATTTTTTCCAACAAATGACCTTTCTCTTGCTTTGATTTAGTCTCGCACTGGGGACATGGCCACTTTTATTCTTTTCTGAAACAAAATGGAAGTGTCAGACAGGACAGGAACAAGATCTTCATTTATTATACTAAGGTGGTCTAAGTCCAGTTACCTATTACTCTGATGAAAGCTGAGCAGCGCGCCTCTCCCAATTCATTAGTGGCAAGACAGATATATTTTCCAGTGTCAGCAACAACTGCGTTTCTTTTTAAAAGGTAGTAGGTGTCCCCTAATTTCTCAATCTGAAAAAAACAATGAAATATGGATAGAGATTAGTGCTGAAATGAAAGGCACAGGCCACGCTTCTCAAAGGAACATTAACAAAAACATTTAGACCTACACTTATTTCTCTTGCTGCCATTCTGACACCATCTTTTGTCCAAATGACATTTGGCCTTGGCTCTCCATGAATTGTACAGTGTAGATTTAAATCATCACCTTCTTGCAGAATGACATGTCCAAATTTGTTGATGAAGTTCGGCTGTTTTCCTTGTACTGGCAAAAGAAAAGAGACACAGAGAAAACAAATATATTGGGCTTAAAATGACAAAATTCAGCTAAGGAAATTAAGTTAGATGATGGCATTTTCTCACAGTGAAGCAACAGAGGCCGTAGCAGCTTGGCCTGAAAAACACCACAGAGAAGCAATTTATAGTAAACTGAGTCACATGCAACAGATGTGGGGTTATACTGTACTTGATTGCAACATCAGTATGAACTGGCAGCAAAACGGGGCTATTAAAACTAACTAAATAAAAATATACTGTAGTTTCCAAATAACAGGATGCAATAGCTCAACTATATCCTACACTGGTCAAACCTTACTTCGAATACTCTATGAAGTTCTGGAAAGTTTTAGCGCGACTGGAACAGGTGCAGAGAACAGTAACGAAAAGGATCAAAGGACTGGAGAGTGGCCAAGGCTGAAACAGATCTCTGAGCATGGAAGATTAAACTGCTAATCCCACTGCTGATCCCTCACCCTGCATTTAGATCCCTTTCAGTCATGAGGCCTGAGGCAAATGGGGAAACTGCTGCTGCTGCTTCTGCTTCCAAGCAGCAATTGGAAAAAAGGTACTTTTTGGAGACAGACATGCGGGAGAGGCTGGATTACTGAATGCAGATTTGCTGAGAAATCTCTCCTCCCTGATTGGCCAGGAAAGGCACATTCTGACTGAGGGCTGGATCTCTGCAGGTGCTGTAGACTCACAGACCAGAGATGCCCGTAGTGTCCTGATCCCTTTAAGAGGTAGAACAAGCCTCTGAAATATTTCAAATGTAAACTTAGACTTGTGTGATAAAAAAGATAAAAAAATGTTGTCTGGAAAGACTCTGAAATACCCACCATGGAGGAATGGTTGGTGAAGATGGCCGAATTTGCAGATTAGGGAAAAGACAATAACTACATTTGTTAGTGACTGGACACCCTTTATAGACTTTTTGCTGAAAACTGAAAAATGAACTTGTGATTTACAGGTTTGATGATTAGAAAGGGTAGAATATGGAAAGAAGGGAGCCATGATGTAACCTTAGAGAGGGGATAAAATATAAATGCTGTAAAATTTATAACTGCTGTAAAGAAGATCGGAAGCCACTGCTTTATATCTTTTTTTTCTTTTCCTATTTACTTATCACTTTTACTTTACATTACTTTCTTTTTTTCTTTAAATCTGTATTG